ATTAGTGCCCCTGCTGGTGGAATACTAATGATAAAAAAGAAAAACATTTATTGTCCCGGTGCCAAATGCAAATTAATTTTTCATGAATAATTAATTGCCTGAAAATGAATGAAGGTTTTGAATAGGTACAAGTATAATGTTATGAGATCAACATAATATTACAACCTATGATTACTTTCATTGCAGTAAAGCCTCTTAGAGCCTCGGCTACAAGCTTCTGCCCTGAAAAAGGAGGCTGGGTTTATTTAGACATGAAATATTCACTCCTTATATAATGTAATGTCATATACAATACAGAGGGTTGCCTAAATAATGTAAACACAATAATTCAAACTTGCAAAAGCTGCTAGAAATGAGGTCAAACCTCTTCTTACTGTATACAGTTTATTCATCATACTGAAGTTTAGTCTCAACCTCAGCAGCTCTTCATCTTTGCCAATTCATTCTTTTTGTTAAACGTATGTTCTCATGGTCATTATTATTATTATTAATGTTGTTGTCATCATCATCATTATCATTATTGTATATTTTTTATTTACACTCAAGTATAATTCTGAGGTACATGTCATTTACTCGATTATTTTTATTTTATGCTACTTCTGCTTTACTGATTGGAATATTATGCTTTTTATTTTTTATCTATTTACAGCTGTTAACTTAGCATATTCATATTTTACATACCAGACCTACAATTATCTTCAAAAATACAATATGAGTAATATGAATACGTTATGATTACCTCAATGTCAACCAACTACAACATTAAAATGCTTCTTACATGTTACTGCATGAGAAATAACATACAATAATAACACTGACAGGGGCGACTTTGCATAATGATTCATTTCACTTTTGACACTTTAGCCACATTTTGCAGAGAATATTTGCATATATTAATCTAAAAATTAAAAAATAAAAACAGGACTTTTACTTGTAATAAAAATATTTGTCTTTCTCCTCTTTTCTACCATGTCAATTTCTACATACACTACTTATCTATATATTGCATTTTTGCATTCACCAATAAGTCATATACTTTTATATTCACTAATGGTTTGTGCATACTAGACTCCACTCAATAAAAATGTTTTTTTGGTTTAGACACTGTAGTATCGTTACCTTTACTAAAAGCTATGTACAGTGTTTTACAGTGTCTAGAAACAGCATTGATGAGAATGAACCAAAACAGTAAAGTTGAAGGCATGAAAGCCAAAACTGTGAGAGCTGAAAGAAGCTCAAATGTTCCACAGAGCTGTGGGAAACTGCAGTCAGGTCACACTTTGAATTTGTCAGGATGTACAACAGCTTTCATTCCCCACAGTCATTCGATCCACTGTTAATGTAAAATATTGATTGGAACAGCTGTAAGTAAAGTATCCTAATACTTCTCACATCTCTCATTTTGCAATATTGACTGGTGCACCTGCAGCTGAGTGCAGGTGACTGAGCCACTTTGAAGATCTGTTGTGTCTCATGTTGCTTTGAAACCTCACATTTCAAAGTGCTGTTTCCCAGCCAGCAAAGGCTTTTAATTGCCTCTGAGCCTAATATGATCCAGTTTTGTAGACATAATAATTATTTTGATTATGCCTCTGTTGTCTTAACATCCTTTTCTGCCCTTTAGTACAGTCAGGCTTCTTCTCTCTGGATTGAATGTCGCCAGCAAATGGCACTAAGGTGACTGTCTTTCCCTAAGTCTAGAGGCAGTTAAAGAGGCCTGTAAAAGGTACTTTTTTATGAATAATGATATAGGGTATTATACCACTTCAGTTCATGGATATCTGCTTAAATAAAATACCGGTACCACTTTACAATAAGACTACCCTTATAAAGAATTTACGAATGGTTTATAACTAGTTTATTAAGTAGCTTGTTGACATTTTATAAATCATTTATAAGCTGTTATTACACTAGATAAAAAGAGCGACAGTGACCTGCCAAATAGTGAGCCCACATTTATCTGCACTGTTAAGCCTCATATCTCATTAGTTACTGAGCTTTCTTTGTTTTCTACATCCTCCAGCATTTGTACCTGTCTGCTTCATCACATATTTAATAAATGGTTATAAATGGCAGTAACTCATTAGTAAGATTAATGAGCAGTAAACATTAACTTGATTGTGAAAAATAGTGAGCCTGCATCAATGTGTGAAAACTGTGTTATAACTGGTATGTAATTGTTTATTTATGATTTCTAAAGTGTTAACAACCTAATTAATAACCTAATTATAAACCATTTATAAATCCTTTATAAGGGTAGTCTTACTGTAAAGTGGTACCAAAATACCTTTGTCTCTGTTATAATAAAAAAAAAAAAGGCTTTGATGCAAAAAAGCATCAGCTAAAAGTCTTGGATTACATCATGTCCCTTGAACATGTCACTTCTGCTCCAGGGCCTACGTGACATTTTTATATATAGTAGAGCTAATAATGTGAGTCAGTTCTTGCAACGCTGTCTGTTTAATCATAATTAGCCACATAACATAATGCAACACCTGCGGGGAGAATCCAAAACTTCATAAATGCACATAAAAACACGTCAAGCATTAGTTCATATGCTACACAAATACTGATTATTGTCCTGGTTAGTCACACAGGCACAGTAACAAATACACACAGCCTGAATTCAACTGATTCACTGTTCTACAGGTGATCACTCTTCCAGAGAAGGAACATGAGTCACTGGATGGCAGAATGAGATAGCAGTGATTCAACGTGACTTGTCCTGAAGAGAAGTATCCACATCCTTGTTGCTGACCTTGTTGCAACATTTGGCCGCAGTTACAAAAACAGTGACCACTACCAACGTCATATGAGATTCATCAGACTCGTTACCTGCTTTGTCTTAAGGTGCTAAAAGTGCCGAACAGTTCACCAGAGCAGAAGAATTAATGGTAAAATTTCTTTCACTTTCAGTACTTCACATCTGTGCGTCTTCCAGATAATTCTTTCACTTAATTCCTAAAGTCAAAAGCTGTTTGGAGAGGCTCCCTGCCCGCTGGGGAGGTGTGTTGTCTATCTTTGCAAAAATGTGGAATTTTTCCACTGTCAAACTCATCAGCTTTATTAGCAGCACAAAATATCCCAAAAAATTCAGCATGATTAGCAAATCCTGTTAGTCTGTGTATTTCCTGTGCCATATATTCATTAATTATCAGTTATTTTGCTTTTTATTTAATTTATATATGAGTTTATGTGTGATTAAAGTCATTAGATTACATTTTTAATTAGGAAATTTGATTAATAAATTAATCTTCAAATTTGTCCACACAAAACAAGCCTGAATTTCAATCAGTGATGGGATTCTTACCAAGAAGAATAACATCAGCAGTGTATGGAGGAAAAGAAAGGCCGGAAGAATTTGACTTTTATAAACAATTGAATACCCAAACTGAATCACTTGATATTGAATAATTGAATATTGAATTATTTTACCCTGAAAAGGGTAATGCAGTCTTGAAGGGTTGTTGTTGTTGTTGTTGTTGTTGTTGTTGTTGTTGTTGTTGTTGTTGTTGTTGTTGTTGTTTTAATTCAAGTGTCCAATATTCAAAAACTACATTCACATTGTTTAAATGGTTGTTGTGTGATCTAAAAATCAAGTTGTTCTAATTGTATTGGTGAAATTCAGATACTGCAGCTGCACAATTGAATTTTCATCTGAATTTGTGAACCAGATAAATAAAACCAAGTTTTTCAAACAGAAACACTTGAAATCAATTTCTTGAAATTTAAGAGTTCAGACATAAATTCAGAAATACGATTTTCAACTTAAAAGATTTCAAAGCAATATATTTGGGATTTTAGTTTTATTGTTCTGCAGTAGTTACATTTTATTGATAGGTATTTTAAATTGCTCTTAAAATTCAAATCATTACAGACCTGTTTTTGCTTTCATACCAGCAGATTATGAGGGTCTCTTGAAGAGAAAACTGTGCCATTTATCAAGTCCCCTCTAAATATTCTTTATAGGCATGTAATATTTCTATTTTAGCTTGATGTCACAGATTACTTGGCTGTTTCTTATGATCAAAAAGCTGAGAAGCCTTCAACAGCAGCATCAGATGCTATGAAGGCTACACCCAACTCCCTAATTTTAGCTGAATGACTGGATACCAGTTTTCTCATTGAGAACTTTTTAACCTTGTGTAATATTGCTGATTTCCTTGTGTAGGTTACATTCAAAAACATTAAAAGTTTCATTAAAATTGTTTATTAAAAAAAGGCAAACCACATCAATGTTGAAATAAGATTCGTATTTTTCTTCTTATAAGAACATGTCGTTCTGTCCTGCCTAGTTTAGTTAAACCTATTCTGCATTTCCTTTAAGTACATTACATCTTGATCTGTTTAAAACAGGCTGCTGCGACCACATGATATTACACACCCATGTTTTTGCATTTCTTCTCATGGTGGCCCATTCTTGTAACGATTTCCCTCCCAGTTTGAGAGTGGCTGCACTCAGACTGAATGTGTGTCATAAAAGCAACATCTTCAGGCCATTTCAGTGGCGGAAATAAACAGTTAGTTGTGTCTCCAAATTACAGATTTTAGATGGCTTTCTTCAGGTCTGTGTGGTGTAAGTTGTGCAGTGAGGTTGGAATAAGAAAGATGCCAGAAGCGGTGGAACAACTCCATGGCAGCAACCAGAGCAAAAAGGAATTATAACATGGCTTCAAGACATGCAGATGGAGGCTTGAACATGAGATAAATTGGGAGGATTTAACTATCGGACTTTCTTCTCTTTCTCATCATGGCAAAAAAGAAAAATAAAGCCTGAAGCTGCTCATAAGCCCAGTGCTGGATGACTGGAAGTCTCAGCTGGAATGAGACAAGCCTCATGAAATACATATCCTCTGAAAGTCTATCGTGTGACAGCTGGAAAAACAGCACTGAACACTTGTGCTCATTCAGTGCGCTGAGACAACTTCCGACAGTACGACAGATGGAAAAACACACCCATCCAAAACGCTGTGAAATAACTACATAATGTGACACATGGGTGCAGCAGCAACTATGGCTAATTTTTTACTTGGGTTAAACAGTCAGACATTTTTACAAACATGTACAGTAGCTCTAGTTTGAACAGTAAACTTTAGACTTCAGTCTCTTTCTCGAAACTTGAGTTTAAGGAAAATAAAGAGTCAATCTCTTGACAAGATCCAAGACAACATACCAAATGATCATAAATACAGCACATAACACAGCACATCATCCACTCACTCTTTAATTAAATAGGCAACATAACATGAGGAACTCTCACAGAGAGTTTCAAAGGAACTATATAACACCATAATATATATGTTTATATATTAGCCCACTGTATATTTCTATATACAATATGTTTTGATGTGTCAACAACTGCTACATAACCCTGATTAAATTATTCTAACATGACCACAAATACAACCATGTCCATGTTTATTGTTCCCATCAGCTGTTGTCTCTGGTATTAATCTCCTGTTACTGTCATTGTTCTTTATGCTATTGAAACATGTCTCAGTGTTTTATCAGTTGTGTTTGATTTGTATCAGCGGGTCTGTCTGATTTTGATCCGTTCATTTTAGTCATCTGTTCAAAGAAAAACTCCCTAGGATCATGAGGGAGAAAATCCTGTTTAAAAACTCACTGGAAAAATGAAACTGACACAAAGTTGAAAACAAGACAGTTTTCTCAGCTTATGAAAAGCTGATGTTTTGGAGATACACAGTAAAGCAGTTGCAAGCAGGGGCTACATGCTACATGATGTTTTACGGCTGTCCACCAATCAGCTACTTTTTGAAATGCAAAAAGAAAAAAGATTCTAACATTCTTATCTTTTGTCTCATGGGTATGATTTTCAGAAAACATAGCTGATGAATCCAATATTTTTCTGCAGCTGGTTTTCAAATCACCACCAAGGGGTTATCAAAAATAGACTCTATTTGCCACAGAGAACATAACCAGTAGGATATATTTATGTCGGATGATGGAACCTGTTTCCTCCTGCGCTTTCAGAAAGCCTCTTTGTGCAGACAAAGCCATAGACATTAAATTTGATTCAAAGTTCATTAACTGCAATAATGCTGAAAAGTTGCTGAGCGTCCAGTCTTGCTCTGTTTTCTTTTCACTGTGCCCCAGCTGTGTCATGCATTGAGATGCTGGCCTCCTGTTTCCTTTGCCTCTGGTGCCTCCAGAGCAAGACAGCCAACAAGAGGAGCAACAGGAAGCCCAGCGCTCCCCCTATAAGTCCTGCTTTCAGAGGCAGACTGGTGTCTCTGGGATGATACATCATACATGACCCATTGCTGGGTCCGATGTCATTCACTGCAACCACACAAACCTTTGCAATGTGCTCTATGTCACCCAGTGTACCGCTCCTTTGCGCTTTCCCAAACTTCTGCCACTCTTGCCCCTTTACTGTCACAACATAACCTGTGACATATGAGTAAGGTGCACACCACTTAATTACAACCTGCGACCCGTTCCAGGACACTGATCTCAAGCTGGGAGCCTCTGGAGTCACATCATGTAAAGTGGACCCTGGACACAAGCAGCGGGTGGAGACCGCTAGCACAGCACAGGAGACGTGACCCTCGAGACAGGGATCGTATTTGCATCGTTGAGAAATCCGTTCACTTGGAGACCCTTTAATGGGTGAAATAGGGGTGGGGTCCTCAAGTTGATCATAATCTTCTCTGGGAGATATGGTCCCTGTCACTCCTGATGTTGTAGGCAGGGGAGAGTAACCTCTGATGAAAAGCAGGCAGACGATCACCAGGGGAAAAGGAAAGGCGCTGCTGATAGCCATCGTGCTGTCTGGAGATTAGAGAAAGTAAAATTCAGTATGTTGGGAAATCTGTTGGGTTTTTTTTTGCCAAGGAATGAAAAGTATCCCCTTAGATTTCCATACAGTATGTGCGTATGCATTGTTCCCTGATGCTTAAAGATTATATCACTGCAGAGGGGAAGACTGTTGAATGATATGTTTGTCTTAAACGTGAGCCAAGTTTCAGTTGAAACTAAAAAACCTCCCAAACTCTGTGGCATAAATTGTTTTATTTAAAAAAAAGAGCACTGTTTTACTCTTGACAAATGAAAAAAAAATGTTGACACTTAATTACTTGAAATGTATTATTGTGTGACACATTTTTCAGTGATTTATAGTCTTGTTTATAGAGCTGCTAGCAATAATCCACATTTGTTAAGATTTGGAGGATCTTAACACTAATTCAGCATTCCAGGCCGTATTGCACAACAGGTCCAAATGCCTACACACCCAAGACGGAGCACAGCCCTGTCAGCTGGATAAAGTTACAGGAAAAGCTACATGTGCGGGTTCCACAAGAATCCTACACAAACATACCTGAAATATGCTCCGTGCTAGACAAGCATAAAGAGGTAACAATGAAGTCCATTCAAAAAATTCTTACATAAGTCTGTGCTTAACTGCATGAAGAGCAGAACAGGACCCCCCACAGAATACTAATGTACCTTGTGCTCCTTCTTTTTTGCCACAGCTTAACTGCCCTTTATTGTGTAAAGGGTGAAAATGTGTTACAAGAGTAAAAGACATGAGCTTACCTGTTGCTTCCAAAAGTTTGTGAGTTTTAACAAAAATGTGAGGGAGCTCCTTTCACCTCGTCTTTCCTTCCACTTGATCCTTCTCTTTCTCTCTCCCCCTTTATATGTTTTCCCTCTCCCCAACAATCACCTCCTTCTTTCTGCCCTCCCCACTCTCCCTTATTCCAGGCCCTTTTGCACAGCTCCACCCCTCTCCTTGCTAAATGGTTTAGCAATGTGAGTAACTGAGTGAGTGTGCATGCTATTAGTGGAATCACTATAGTCTGCTATTAGTTACATCACTGCTGTCTAATGTCTCATCAAATTATTTCTTGCTGCATTCCTTCGCAATGGGCAGGTTTTTCAGAGCATGTCTCACTTGTTAATGAGCTGTTTTTTCCTTTTAGGGCGAGGGAGGGAGACTGAATAAGATGGGGAATTTTCTGTATCAGGGCTTCAATTCAGTGGAATTTGCCATTCCTGACATATATTTGTGACTACAGACAGCCTATTCCATCCTCTTAGCCGCCAACCTCTAACCTAAATAAAATTCATGACTAAACATCACTTAACACTGCAGCAAAACAGAAAAGACTGAAGCTGTTGTGCAGCTGTTCCATGGAAGACCGGAAATCAACCTGACTGGACTTGTCCTGGGAATGATTTGAGATGTATTACATAGTCAAGCTCCTACCTTTCTTCAAAAACTGGAATGAAGTTAGAAAAAAAGGTAAAATAACAAGTGGTGGTGATTAATTTGAGGCACCACCAACATCACAATAAGTAAACTCCACACAGCACTTCCAGAGTCTGGGGAACAGAGCAACTGAACAAGATGTTTTGTTTATGTAACAAAACCAACTTTATGGCTTTAAATCCAGCTGTATGCTCACATATCCACTCTGCTTTTGAGCTTAGGCTGCAGAAAAAGTGACCAAAATTAGCTCATAGTGTCCTGTGCCACATGAATTCATAAAAACAATGAAGTTATCCATCTGATGAAATCTATCTGATGTTATATTCCTGCTACAGTATGCAAATATATAATATATAACATCTTGAATATCTAATTTTTCCCAAGATATTTTTTTATTGGGCCTATATTTATTTCTTATATCATTATATATATAATATATAATATGATAATATTATATATATATATATATATATATATATATATATGTATGTATATATCAGTTGTTTCTTTCTTTCTTTCTTTCTTGCATTTGCTTCTATCTGTGGGTGAGTGAATATGTGTGAATATGTTTTGGGTCTAACTACACACAGGAAGAGTGTGGGTGTATAAGTGTGAAAGAGATGCATATATTTACATCTATGTGTGTAGGTAATGCCATATTTATATGTTGTGTAATATGAGTTGTGTTAATGTATAATCCAAATCTAATACTGAAAAACATGTATCTATTTTTGCCTTATTTCATAGTAATGTTTTTATGATAAAATAGACCTGGTCAGCTCTGGCAGGGTGAGTGAGTAGCAGGTCTATAAAGTGTTTCCAAGAGGAAACTGACACACAAATGTGTTTATGACAGGATCAAAGATCGCGTGGGTAACAATATGAAATATCAAGAAATAGAGTAAGAAATATTTCACTACAAATGACACAGCCTATTCAAGTAGATGGTAACAGCTGAATGGCTAGTTACATAAGCCCATTATGCACTCCCCCTCTTTGCCATGGACCACGTCACTTTTTCCCCAACCACTGCAGCTGGCTGGGATGGGTCTGTTTTCCTCTTCAAAAACAACGCCACGAGGAATCAATTATTTTCATAAATGAAATGGTAGCAGCCCAAATGAATACTACAAGTTCTGTCCTAGCAGGACCAGAGTCTGCAGAATAAATAGCATGTTTGAGTGTTGTTTGTACACAACATATGCTGCAAGGCATGGCAACTTACTGGTTTTTGGCTGAAGAATTCTGCCTATATTTACTTATTTATTTATTTATTTATCCATATTCACAAATGATGTATTTATCTATTTATTTTCACAATTTATTTTCTTATGGTCAAGTAAATTATCAGCTGTGATTTTTCGACAGCCAATGGTAAAACAACGATCACTTCAGGTGTCAGCCTTGGGCCCAATGACTCCCTGAATGAGACAAAGATGATCAATATAAAACCAGCATTAACAAGCCAATGTTTTTCTTTATTTCATTCATTTTTTAAACTTAATTTCATCTTTAAAACTTCCAGCTCACTTCCTGTTAAGAACATGCAGGAATGTGGCAATGCAACACACGTTATCAATAACAATGTAATAGACTCTACAGGCAGTAGGCATAGTCTATTCAGGGGACAGTCATCTCACCTCATCCTTCTAAAACAATCAGTTATAATGTGATAAAGAAAACCATTCATTTAAATTAAATAAGTGCTCATTATTTTAATGTTAGTGAAGAGCTATTCATACGGGAAATGATTAGTCCTAATGTAGGGCTTATTACTTGACCTCAGTATCATTCATTACTAAAGCAGTCTACAGTGCCTCCTAGAGCCGACAACATAATTAGAAGCAACACTAGAGAAAAAAAAACACATAGCTATTGGGTGTATTAAGCAAAGAGCTAGGTGGTGACTTTTCAGTTACGTAGCTGGGTGTGGATGGTTTTAGGCCTAATTAGTGTCGATGACGGATTGCGCTGCTATGAGCGGGACATCTGCGAAGTATCAGAAAGTTCAGGACACGACTGGTCTGACCCACAGCATCCTGCTTTTACAGTGCGGCCTCCAGCAGGCTGTCAGTGTGGAGTAAACTGCTGTGTCTTCCACCAGATACAGAGTTTGTAGTAAATCCCACCAAGAGGTCGATAACCTGCGACTATCAACCGTAGGCGTGTAGCCTAATTTTAAACTCTAAAGGGCAAACATGAGCTTTTCTCCTCAAATGGCTGCTGCTCAACCTTAAATTGGGGAAATTTCACCCCGACTTTTGACTTGTAGGCTGACAAACAATATTACACTTGTACAGGGACTCACATCCTGGCCTTTTAATAAATAAAGACTTAGAGAATAATAGGAGCGCACAAAATGTCAATAAAAGTCACTACGTTTACATCAGGGATGCAACAAAAGCCAATATGCTGCAAAACAGGCTTACAGAAAGAGAAATTATAAATAATTATATAAATGATTAAAGGCTACAAGACAGGACTGGGCTTTGGAGGGCCAGAGTGTCATTTGACCATTTTTTGGTTTCATTCATTTGTAAAATCTCTTATTCATTATTGTTTTTATTGTCCAATTATAAACGACTTGTCCAACATAATGGTTTAACAGTAATCTTAAAAGGGAAAAACAGTGACATTTATTTCTCACTCTGAGAGGTCAGCCTAGATTTACTGGCTCTGTATAAATGCCCTTTTGCCTACCGTACCGGCCAATGGATAAGAAGTGATTGGACCAACTATCAGAGGAATAAATAAAATTAATAGAAATTAATATTTTACCAACTTGTGCCTGCTGGAGGAAAAAAAAACATATGTTGAACATTTGCACACACAAAAGATGAGGCTTTATTTCAGTATCAGAACTGATCGTTTCAGATGGGAAAGAGAAAAGCTTGGGTGAGTGTGGTGTTTAGAAATCTCATTTTATCTGATATTAGATCAATATAAAAACGTTTTAATATACAAGACTAAATCGAAACAAAAGTGGCTTGGTATGCAGAAGGTAATTTAATGAAAGGAAAGGGGAAGGGCGTTTAGAATTGAAGACACGGGAGTAGGCAGAGATAACTCGTTGAGGTTAGGCTAATAGCTTAGGTTTAGGTTCAGGGACGGAGACAGAAAAGACTCCACTTCCCCTGCATCGACTGCCGAGGCTTGGGATATAATGCCAACCCTTTTGGTGATGCTCTGCAGAAGAGATTAAACTCCCTTCAAGTCAATACTCAGGTCAAGTCAAACCTCGCACAGAGTCGCTGCTCTGCTTGCGTCATTTCAGTGCGACAGGCCTCTGTGTGCAGTACAGTACGGTACAGTCCTGCAGACAGTAGCTAGAAATGGGTGAGTCGCCGCTGAGGGCCGTGGTATCAGAGTTTTTGAACATTAATGTACGGACTTGAGTGACGCAGTTAAAGACCACCAGCGCACTTCTGCTGCAGAACCACAGTGTTTGCAAGAGTGCGTCTTTTGACCGACTGGTATTGTTAGTTTTAAAGCTAATAGGCTAATGTTAGCGAGCGGAGCCAGGCCCAACGAAGAGTTCACCACGGTGTTTTTGTCAGCGACGCCAGTTAAACTGTTAATGAGGCAGATGTAACTGGTGACACTAATAGCAACACAAACAACAACACCCGTGTAAACAGCCCAGGTCGGTAGAAATCTGGTCTGCTGTGAGTAGCACATCAAACGTTAGCATAGCCTGTAAACGCCGTGCTAACTACATTAAAATCATGACTTCCAGGAGGACAGGCTATGCTGGTAGCATGGATTCATCTCCGTCAAATAGCGGCAACAGCTCGGTCCACAGTGGAAATCGTAAACAGAGTATAATCAACATTACCGACCGAACCGGGGCAGAATCCTGTTATGACCGCAAAGCAGACAAGGCTGGATACGGAGCTTCGCAGGGCAACATGACTGTAACATCGCTGAAATCGCGTCTGGCCCCTACCATTCAAACTGCCATGTCCGCTGCAGTGGACACTCTCCTGGGCGAAGTGGTGCTTGTGCTCAATGAGACTCAACAAGAGCTGCTACATAAGGAGCAGGAGAATGAAAGACTCAAAGTGCGGCTTGAAGTGTCAGAGAGGGAGTTGAAGACCCTACAGGAGTGCCTGTGTAGTGCTCAAAAGCTCATAGATCAGCTTCAGATCTCATATTCGGGCCCTCAGACAATTAGTCAGTCAGTTTTTGCCCCATCACTGTCTTCCATGGCTTCACTCACTCCAGGTTTGGACCGGGACCACCAGAACCCCCGAAATGTGAATGGAGCCGGTGTTGACTTGGGTCTTGGTGGATCTGTGGATGAATCGCTTCATGGGTTTGAGCCAAGAGATGACTACAAAATGTGCCAGCTTTCAATCCAACCAGATGGCTCTGTGACTAACCACGCTCTGGACTCCTTTGCATCCAACACATCTCATATGTGCTCTGATTCCAGCAGGCCAGGTAAATACACAATGTGTGCTGTTGTGTTTTTCTGTATATTGTGGGTTTCCTAAAAAAAACTTTGATTGTGAGTCGGAACAAATGAATCAGTCACTCTTTGTAAATTGATACATGGATTATCTCTGCATGTTTTTATCTGTCTTTAGATGAGAGGCAGTCTCAAGGACCAGGTGGAGCATCCAGGTTTGAGATTAAAGAGGAGCAGGGACCAGCTTCAGTCTCTGGTCAGCCCAGCAGGAAGGAGTCTGGGCTGCGTAATGACAGCAGAGTCGGGGATGGGGAACGATCGTCCCACAACGTGGGTGACCTTGGGTATGTTCAAGTTGGGGAGGGAGGTTCTCAGCGTTCCTTTACTCACCCCCTGCGTCACCAAAGGCCTGTGCGAGAATGCAGCGGTGCCTTGCAGCAGGGCGGACTTGATGGACAGAAAGTGTTGGCTAGGACTTCTGGAACTGGGAGAGGAGACAGTGTTTCACCGGGCAGAGCAGAGGACTCGGCAGGACCTTCAGCCCCTGACACAGCAGGAGAGCCCTCTGGAGATCGGCCTCACCACTGCCTGGAGTGTGGAAAGACCTTCCGCTTGATCTCCAGCCTGAAGAAGCACATCCGCATCCACACAGGAGAGAAGCCCTACCCGTGTGGAGTCTGTGGCCGCCGCTTCCGTGAGTCAGGAGCTCTTAAAACCCACCTGCGCATACACACAGGTGAGAAACCATATTCTTGCTCTGAGTGTGGAAACTGTTTCCGCCACTTGGACGGTTTACGCAAACACAGGCGCACACACACTGGAGAGAAACCCTACGTGTGTGCCATCTGTGGGAAGCGTTTGAGCCGCCTGCAGCACCTCAAACACCACCAGCTCATCCACACTGGAGAGAGGCCATGCTGCTGCCCCTTCTGCAACCGCAGCTTCAAAGAGCCTGCAGCACTGCGGAAACACATCCGCACACACCGGGAGGAAGGCGGTCACATGGGAATTGGTGCCAGTGATGACACAGACCCAGATGCTATGGATGACATAAACAACCTCCATCCAGCAGCTCCATCCCCTCAGATGAGGTTTGGGGAGTGGGGGGCAGAGGAAGATGACAGCTCAGTTGTGGACTGTGTGTAGGGGATGATTAAAGGAGTAACTGTTGGATGGTTATCTTACCATAAAACATGGAATAAGGTGTTTCTGTAGTGTAACATGATGAATAAGGAGTGAAGAATCAGACTACATATAACTCTAGCCTTTGAGTTTTTTCTATATCTGACATTTTCGTGTTTTCATGTCAGCAGCATGTTTTTTTCCCCCACAGACATTCATCAAGCAGCAACAGCAGTGTACAGGTTGTTCTTGGCACAGGGAGTTGCTGGCTTGCAACTTTTCTGCAATAATTTGGGAAATTGATAGCAGAAGTGGACAAGATCTGTTTTCCCACTTAAAAAATGTAAGTGCCTTGAACACTCACTCAGCCATCACCTGAGTCACTGCTGTTGCTGCTGCTGTTTAAGATTGTACCCACCTTAATATTAGTCAGGACAAACTGTTAGGATTCTAGTCATGAGGCTTTTTTTGTAACACACTGAGCTGCTCAAATACCGTAAACAGAAATAGACGCATAGTACTGGTTCATGCTTCATGTTTAGGACAAACCATGTACATTGTGTAGCTGGATGTTTTTGACTAAACCAAATATCACTTTATAATGGTTAAATTCTTTGAGCTTGATAAAGTGTTCATGATTGGGTCTATACAGTTGGTGCTTTTACACATTATATATTAACCTAATAGAATCTAAAACAGAAACTGACCAACACCATTATGTGGGCATTCCCATTTCACTCAGTTTGTCAGAAAATTGAAACAGGCACCTATGATAAGGACATATTTAGATATGTCTCCCAGCTCTACCTCAGTACTCATCCTCCTTTTTTTAGTTTAGTTGTAGTCATCTGATGTCTTTGACTGATAATTAAGACAATTTAATGAAAAAGTCTGTTAAATTGTTTCTCCCAGTGATTGTGACCCACTGTACGTGGTTGCAGTCACATTTTAAGGACCCAATGCTTATGTAAGACCAAAGCACATGTGTGATTATTGTAATACCAGAGATGTTGCAATTGTTTTCAAGTAATAATTAATGACTATAGAAATACCATTTAAAAAAAATCACAAAAATATAATTCTTAGTTGACATAGCGGGTTAGATTTTACTGCATTTATACTGTCATGGCTGTGTAGCTTGATGAGGCATGAACCAGTTTTACTCTTCCTCTTTAGCCCCACTCTGCTCTGTCTTATCTCTTCTTTTCACTCTGCAGAGCCCTCATCAGTTACACAATCATAATGTTTTGTCATGCTGAAATTATCTGTGTCAAGTATATCTAGGTTTGAAGACATCAGTATGAGCATTTTATTTCTTCACCACGACATACAGGGAAGAGAGAGAGGACATGAGCATGCATCCAGAAAACGGCTTAAACGCTGCGTTACTGTTGTCCCATTATCATCTTTCTCTTGTGGACCATATCCTAGCATTCCGTTTTTGTTTTTTCATTCAAGCTGCTGCTGTATGTCTAGAAAACCTTTCCTTTTCTGGACAATTATTCTTACCAGCCAGTTACTAGCAGTTACTCGCAGACAGACTTTGGTGCTTGCATGTGCATATTTGTTCTTCCGCTTGTAACGATGCCCCCTGGGCGTTTCTGTAAATAAGAATGTAGTTTTAGCCATTTTATCCGGTTTAATAAGGGTCAACATTTGTGGAAAAGTTAATGTGCAACAAGGATTTTTTTCTTTTTAAACGTAACGTGCTTTGTAACCATCAATATGCTAACATACAATGTAAATACATAAAATCTTATTACATTTCTTCCTGAAGTTCTTCCTGCTGTCCTGATTAGACACGACTGATGCATCAGGTTTAACAGCAGAGCATTATTCTTCTCAGCCATTTGAGCTATACTGTCGGCTTCTGGTGTCATTTACCCTGTATACTACTATAATGATCTCTATGTACATTTACAAGTGTAAGTCATTTTACAAGGCACTCAAAATGTTAAATATATGTCTGTATACCCAGAATACAATTTGCCAAGGTAGTCTACCCCAGATAATCATATTTATTGTTTTTTGTATTACATACAGGGGGGCCTTTGCATGTAGGTTTAAACTGAAATGGCATTATTCCTTAACAGGTCAGTGTTAAATGTGAAATTAATTACTTTTTTATGCTTCTGTGTTCAAAATCTATGCCCACACATCACATTCATCCTGTTACCTACTGTAAATGTTACTATATTAAAGGGCCTTGTTTGTATGTCTTCTCTCTTTGTGGCTGTTTATTCAATACATGACATTATGTAGAGGTTTCTTTGAAATAATGAGTTTATACACCCAGATGATTATTGCTGACAACATATAATATATAAACTTAAAGTAAAGTAAACAGTAAAATAATCTAGCAGTGTGGCAACACGCTCCAAGATCCTAATTTAAGATCACCCCAGCTGTTTATTCCAGCATTATTACTTCACTTCCAGTCAGTACATTTCATTGTATCAGGGCAGGAAAACCACATTAACCCTGGAGGAAAGATTCCACTCCTTCTGAAACTTTGCCAAACAGACTGGAGGTGCTGTGGACACACCCAAAAACAGGCACAAATAACATCTTACTCTTCTCTCAATGCTGAGTAATGACAGCTGTGTTCATACACACAAACTGCTGTTTGAGGCAGCCTTTGGTATGATTACAGAAGCTTAACAGTTTACTTTTGTAACTTAACTTTTATGTCAGTCTTTAGTGTTACTGATTGATTAAATTCTCAGATTTTCTCTCCATTTCCAAAAGGTACATATATTGTACAATTCCACACTGGATCTTCAAGGTTTTATCTTAATTTGCAAGTTCCTCCATAGTGTTGAAGGTCAATTTCTCTGATGTTAAACAGCACAGAATAAATGTCTCTCAGAAAGATCAGACTCATTAAGGTTCAAATAAAGGTAGTTTTACAGCTCAAGGATATGTGTTGGTTTATGAGCATACTGTACTTAATGCACTTGATTCTATGAGGCATCCCTTCACTGCACTGGCCGTATAGTGTGGAATAATGGTTTCTTGTCGGTAGATCATCCTGCCCTTTCCCACAGTGTGTTAACATGAAATACTGTTAAAGGTATGTATAAATCCAAAATCCAAAAAGTACATGTAGAAGATAGTGGTGTCACTGAGATGGCGGCAAAGCACCCAAACAGGAAGTGACGCTATATCTCAGGACCTGTATGTATCCAAACCAAACTTGATACATGGTCTTGGGACCGAATTTCTATGAAGCCCGAAGTCACTGGCGTCAATTGGCACCGAGGGGATGCTGCAATAAGTCAGTAGATTTTGGCTAATAACCATGGACGTGTTTGCCTTAAAAACACAATTCTTGTTCCTTTCTAATAGTTTCAGTGTAATCCAAGTCTAGATTGGATTTTTATCAGAAACCGTTTTTTTTTTTGTTGCTGCTCCTTGGACAACCTTTGCCCAATCTTTACCAAAGTTGGCAAAGATGATCTTGAGACCAAGACTCACAAAACTTATCACATTGATTTTTGATATATGAAGCATTCAACCATAACAGCTAATCAAAATTGGTAAAGGTGCCAAACAAAAAATCAAGTCATATCTCAGCCAGTCTTTAATCAACTGACATGAAACTTGCTCTGAGTGCTTATGACCATGCCCTTGACATAATGATATGTTTCCATGGAAACTATGGCCTTCTGGGCCCCCACATTGCTGCTTGCAGCTAAATTTGCTGTAATGTTTTTGTTGTTGTTTCAGAAGAACAGGAACTGCAGCAGAAATATCTAAAGCTGCTTAATTACATGTTGCTAATCTGATTGGAATTTGATAAATCGCTGTTTCTCTAACTTATACTGAGACTCAGTTCATGCTAGGCCTTGGTTTGGTTTTGACAAAATAGACCACAAATGGGAGTTATAACATCAAGTTGAAGCAAGTGCTGTGGAATCCACTGAAACACAGTATTATACCTGAATGCATCAGTTGAAATTCACAGAGCGCCTTCACAGTGCTCACACAAAGTACTACTGCAAAGTTTTTATATGCAGGCTTATTGACATGTTTCTCAATAAACTATAAATTTGTATAAATTACTATAGTACAATTTACATTTCATCTTCAAATGAACAGTCAAAGAAAGTAACAGGCTACATTTACTAAAGTACTGTAAGTACAATTCAGAGATACTTTAAACTTCTACTTGACTAAATATGATAATATTGTACTTTTAACTACACTGCATTTACTTTACGCTTACATTAAGTGGTTACTTTTAAAATTAAGATTTAAAAATACTGGTTGATACAAGATAGTGTGTGTTGTTACTCAGTAATTAACAACCTGACAATATGAGAAATTTTTTCAAATAATAATTTTATACCTGTAATAGTTTTATATCCTGGTCAGCTACAACATTAAAATGGTACTTACAAAATGCCTCTGTCATACAGAGGCCACTTCGCCGCATTGAGAGTACTTTTATTTTACTTTGACACAACAAGATTTTAAATAATATAGCAGCAAACAACTATTTTTTTATGTAGAGATATAGTTTCTCTAACTTAAATGTTTCATGGCGTCCTGAGCAGAGAAGTCCCCGTCTGATTATGTTGTAATCCCTTTCTCTGTTCTTTGTTTTGGTATCTGGACGGCAGCGCGTGCGTGTTAATACATGTAGGCTACCTGTGCATGTTAGTGGATGTGGGTCCCTCTTGCTACCAATAATATGTTCCTGCAGTACCTGCCCCTCCCTCTGTTTATAAACAGGCAGGGACCGCCCACTGACGGGATGGCAGTCATGGCACAGTGTAGTATGCAGCATTCAGGTGAGAGGCACTTTCCATCTCCTCGACTTAAAAAAATTATTTTTGCCTAAATAGGCTTCTGACAAAGAAAGATATGTCGGAGCACAGGTGGACTGACCATGGGGTCAGTCAGTCAGTGGACCGTCAAAACATCTATAAAGTTTTTAAAGTTTTGACGGCTCCATCAGTGTCTTTACCTGCTCCAAGTATGTGCTTTCCCAGCCTGACTGTGGAGCCATAACTGGTCTGGCTTTACAGAGATGGAGAGACTATGAGCGGCTAAAAGGCTCATGTGTGGAACATGTGTAAGTAACTTGATGGCTACATAATCTTACATGTCTGTTTTCATTAGTAACCGGCTACAGAGGGCCTGAAACGCTAGCTAATGTACTGTTACCCTAATTATGAAGTTGTGCAAATGTTGCTATTGCTAGCTGGCTAACTGTCAGCATTGCCATGGAGCATATCACGTCAATGCTGGGGTGGGCTAATGGTTGTGGCTAGTTTGCTTTTTGTTGGCTCTCGTGTACACAGGCTAACTTTATTCAGTAGTGCCTCTTGTGTGTTTAGTGGCCATTTTCACGGGGCTTCTTAAAACCTTGCTGGCTGACAACGTGAATGGATGGGTGGGGGAGTTTGAGCCGAACAGATGCTGGAGATTTAGCTGACGAGGCGTTTCTTTTGGTCAGAGATGCTGGTGGTTTAGTGCGACATCTAGTGGCAGTGACGGTCGTCTGCAGGAGATTATGCTGATAACTTTTAATCAAGTAAAGTTTTGAATGCCAGGGTTTTACTTGTAATGGAGTGGTTTTACATTGAGGTACTGAAACAGATTTCAGATAGATAAAGTTCCTTGTCTCTGTTAACAGCTGTTTTTGTAAAGGGTTTGTATATTTCTGTTTGTCACTGTTGTCTGGTGCAGCGAGTAATGTTAAGGTTTCAGTGTTCAGAGGGAAAGTAATTATTTTGTACAAACATTACTCAAGGATAGTTTATGTGTGTGACCTGCAATGTATTTGCATTGTGTGTGTGTGTGTGTGTGTGTGTGTGTGTGTGTTTGTGTGTGTGTGTGTGTGTGTGTGTGTGTGTGTGTGTGTGTGTGTGTGAGTCTTGGCAGCCACTGATGCACTGATGGCGAGTAGCAGAGGCAGAGAGAAATGTGAGAGTGGCCTGTGAACTCTCTGTCAGCCCATGCAGTCATTTCCTCAGTGACTGAAAGTAAACACTCACGTTTTGGAGAGGAAGTGACTCAACTCTCTTTGTCTCTTTCTCACTTTCACCCCTTTGCCCATGTGACCCCAAACACTGGCTGGCCCATGAGATCCTTACAGTGGCGGCAAAGTCACATTTTTTATGAGCACATTCATTTTTCCCAGGCACGAGGGACACAGTTCAGTGTATGACAGGAATGTAATGAGATTTTGTTGTCGAGGCCTTCTGCTCTCTGGACACGAAGCTGCAGCCTGTTTCATTCAGAGTGGACTGAAGAAGATTTTGATAATATTTGGTCACATGCACAGATTGCGAAGATATAAAACTGTAATTTATTGCAGTTGTTGGAAAAAGCACATCATCCGAAACTGCAGGCACAATAAGTCTGGCAGTCCTTCAGTCATGTACAGTACTGTACATAGATAACAGTTTTGAGGTGCTTGTAGTTGTTTCTGTCAGTGACTTCTTTTTAATACATTATATCATGGTTTTATTTACAGAAGGCCATTTTTAACCTTACAGTTACTGACTAAAATAAAGGTTTACATGCAAAACACACAGGAAGTTCATGATGCACAGCTGGAGTTCAACCCAACCAACAGTGTATAAAGTATTAACATCACCTATGACAATAAAACTTAAGCTTTATTCACGCTTGGAAGAAGACCATCTTTCAGAGATGAGGCTTTTGCCTTTAGTTTGCTTAAAACTTGAAGATCTTTTGGTTTAAATTGAATGTTTTCCCACTGTGGTATAGTGACTTATTGTTAAAGCATTTCAGACAAATAAAGTGATAATGTCCGTCATCACTGAGAAATGTTTGAAAAGGGCCGCACAAATAACTTTTGTGGTTAGCATGGTGTATGTTGAAGTGTGAAATCTGCCACAGATAAACTTATATCTGATGTGTGATCAAATAAAAAGATAGTAAACAGATCACTCATCTGTAAAGCTGTAGCGCCAATGTCCTGTTAGTGTTCGCATCTAAACCGATTTACTTTTATCAATTTATGTAAGTTGCGTATAAGACAAAAAGATAATGTCAAAATAGCTGCATTCATTTAACCTGAGTAACCTATCTGACCTCATCCTGACTCTGATGACCCACATATAATGTCTACACATTTTGAGTAGGCCTATGTTTAACTTTTTTTTTTTTACTGACATTTTAACACTCACCAGAGGCTATCAACAATTAACTGATCAAGGTGAT